CCTATCGAGAATACATCAAGCGCCGCGAAGAGAACAGATACTTTCACTGTGGGCTTGCGTTCGCTCTGGGACATCGTTGCCCAGACAAGAATTTACGAGTCATCATCTTGGCGGCTGATGATGAGGGTGAATCCGAAGATACCAATGTTGACGATGATGCTCTAGTTCATTCCGATTGCAATTGGTTAGACTTATCCATGTGCTCGGCCGGAGGACTTACTACTCCGCAGACGATGAAACTCCAAGGCAAATTAATGGATCACCCGATTTTGGTGTTAATCGACAGTGGCGCCAGCCACAATTTCATTTCGCACAGATTGGTGGAACGGCTAGGCTTACCAGTGGATATGACAACGCCATCTTTTGTAAGGTTGGGGGATGGTAACCGTAGGCAAACTCTGGGCAGTTGTACCAACGTGCGCATCCACCTGGGAGACTACACTATGAAAGGCGAATTTTTTCTGTTTGAATTGGGCGGCGTGGACGTCATACTGGGGATGGCTTGGTTGATGACCCTGGGAGAGGTTAAAGTGAACTGGGGACTCCTTCAAATGAACTTTCTGCACCAAGGGAACCATATAACCATTCAGGGGGACCCAAGTCTGTCCAGAGAATTGATCACCACCAAGGCGTTGAGAAAATTGCACCAACGTTCTGTAGAATCTCTGGCCATACTCTGGATCGGAGAGAACTCCCTTGATACACCACAACAGCTTACCAAAGATCAAGACGAACAACTGCAGCAAATTTTGCAGGAATTCCATCTTGTTTTTTCAATACCACATGCCTTGCCACCACATCGAGACGCTGATCATAAAATATCCATTAAAGCAAGCATAGATCCGATTAATGTACGCCCTTATAGGTATCCCTACTTACAGAAGAACGAGATCGAAAAACAAGTGGAGGAAATGCTCACAGCCGGTTTAATCCGACCAAGTAACAGCCCGTATTCAAGTCCTGTTATTTTAGTCAAAAAGAAGGATGGAAGCTGGCGGTTTTGTGTGGATTATCGTGCTCTGAATAAAGCTACAATCCCAGACAAATTTCCTATTCCTATGATCGAAGAAGGATAGGAAGTTAAAAGTGTATTATAGGAAGAAGGGTACAAATAAGAATTAAACTTATTTGACCTTTTGACCTTTTAGAGTGAGGGACGGTAATAATTAGTTAGTGAGGCCCTCTTTAAATAGGACTGGTTTAGGTGGGGAAGGGGATGGATATTGTTTGGGTAGTATTTCCAACTGGACAGATTCCGGTGTGAAAGGAGTAGTTTCCTTTGTGTACTTTTTTCCTTACAATCAATAAAGTTCCAGGGACGAATAATTCCCTTTCTCTCTCAGTCCTCTTCGGAGCTCTAACAATGACTGAACTTGTACATCTTTCAGATACACGCTCTTTCTCTTTTGATGTTGCCTTCATTATCTTATAAAATCAAATTATCTGGAAAACATGGGGCACTTAACATAAATGAATGCAAAGAATGTTGAAAATCGCAAATAAAGACGCGGGAAGGATTAAGGGTTCATACTCCTTAATTTAATTGCTATTTTCTAAATCCTACAGTTGATAATTTGACAACTGAATCGACATTTACCCCTAAAGGCTAAAAGTCATACGCTACAAACCTCCAATGTATTAGAGTCACGAAGGAACCAACTTTCAGTTGCATCACTGAATAAGCCAACCATCCTTGATCTTAAAACAGGAAAATACAAACCACACTCACACATCATATTATATATACATACATACATTGGAGATAGAATTTTCAATAAGAATTTGTTGATAATTTCTTCCAAGATCGACCAGCCCATTCAACTTCTATATTTTGTTATCAATCACAAAACCTTGCCTCCATGATATACAAATATTAGCCAACTATATACATGATAAAACAGTATTCCGTAGCAGAATCATCTCTACTTTCTACCAGTAGCACCAATGCGTGGTTTGCCCTTAACCTCAGATTCCTGCATTTCATATGAATATAATTTTGCATGTCATCCACATAAGATTAAAGGATTTTCTTTTAGCCGTGGATAGCCAGAGCAAATACCTGAGGCAAGTGCAAGAAAATGTAGGTCTTTGCTGTTGCAGGATTATGATTTTCTGCCCCTTTACTCCAGTCATAGCAGACCTACATGCAGGATGTAAATATATCAATTTGACATTTGTTTGAACCATACATATCATACGAAATACCTCTATTAACGTAATCGATAAGACCAGATTGAATACCTAGCTTTTTGAATTCAAAATCCTTTTATCAACAAATTATGAACAATATCGAGAAATGAATTGCCAAATAGAAAGTAATATAATACAGAAATTTCCATCACAAGATTAAGATCACAAAAGAGAAGAAACTAATATTCTATGCATTTTTATGACAAAAGAAGCATCGCAAAGTCAATTTACATCTGGATAAAATGAGAAGAAAAAAATTTCATTTCCCCTCAAATAACACAGTCTAATAATAATCATCTTCAGAAGATGGAAGGCATAAAGATTGATTATACGAGAATTATTCAATCATACAAATTTTTAGAGGTAAATAATTTATCATAAGCATGGTTTACAATAGAACATTATGACATTGTTTAATCGATGCAGCTGACTTCGCCTAGTGAAAAGGCTTAGTTGTCATATAAACAATGGTATGATAAACAAATTTATAGCTTATGGCATAGCCAGTAACAATATAATAATCACAAGTCAGAACATATTTATCTGTTAAATGTCAGAATATATATTGAGATCGAAGTTTCCTTGAGATTGATAGTCACAGGGTTAAAACCCAATGGTGTTGATCGTTCCATCTGTTTAACAACCAAGTGGTTACAAGGCTAGGTGGTCGTTGTAGATAAATTTATTGTATTTATTATTATTATGTATCTTAATCTCTCATCTCCCAAATTAGCTTCTATCAATTATAGCAAGTAAAATGATGTTTGGTCCACACCCACCCTCCAATCCTCAAGAAAAATAAAGAGAAAAAAAACTGTATCTTATTAAGATACATCTCAAGATTGCGGCCTTTTGGCCAGAATTAATTAAAAAAATTAAATTTTCTTTGAAATAAATTATTTAAAAACAATTTACCAAAATAAAATATTTTAGCCACGCGGATACTCAAAAAACGTCACAAGGTTTGACGTTTTGCATGTAAGGGTAAAAAAATGAAAAAAAACGTCAATACAAGTGACATTTTAATGCATGCAGAAAACGCAGAACTCAACTGGAAATGTCACATGCATTAACGTTTTCCATGCAAGCAAAACAAAACCGAAACATGAAAAACGTCACACATATTGACGTCTTTAGTGGCAACCATGGTGAACCAGAAAACATCATACATTTTGACGTTTTTGAAGCCACCACAAACGTCACAATGGGTTCTGGAGGTGCCAGTCCAGGGAGACGCCGACGGCAAGCTCCAGCGTGCAGGACTGGAGGCACGGCGAGAAGGAAGGGGAGTGCCAGCAGGGCAGAGACAGTGTGGAGCGAGGTGGTTTGCGCGTGACTTCAGCTGCGCACCATGGCTACCCCATCGTTGAGCGCATGCGCTGCCTCATCTGTCAAGCATTGCCTCACTATACTGACAAAACGTCACTTGTATCGACGTTTTCTTCATTTTTTTAACCTTACATGCAAAACATCGAACCCTATGACATTTTTTGAGTATCCACATGGCCAAAATAATTTATTTCAAAAACTATGCTTCTCAAAAGCAAGCCCATTAACAAAATTGAGATATCCTCCCTTGCAAATTCTTTACAAATACAGATCACTTTTTGCTTTCCTCTTTACTAATATATTTTAAAAGATCCGTACAATTACCTTGCATTTTAACATGCTCTCATACATAATGTTGTGCTCAAGTCAAGGGTCTTTTCAACGTATCATCATAAAAAAATGAAAGAAGAAAATAAATAAATAAAGAGGTAGAAGAAAGAAATCCCAATTTCCATCACTTAAAGAAGTAAATGTGTATGACTGAAAAAAGGAGCAAAACTTATTTAACAATGCTGCAAACTAAAGCAGAATAGTAAGGTGGCCATACCGAGTATGCAAATATTGAACCATCATTGTTGAATGTACTGCAAGGAATAGGTTGGCTGCATCTTAACATGGCCTGAAATAAGATAGGTTTGCATTAGATAAGCATGTAAATATACCATAAATATCACTACAATTTGAGTCGGTTAGGAATTGAATGGGGAGTGTTCATAGATGGAATAACCTTGAGCCTTTGTTTACTATCCTTATCCCAAAAATTGAAAGCACCATCAGAACCAGAAGTTGCAAATGTGTGGTGTACCTAAAAATCGTAGAAAAATGTGAAAAATGATTATAAACTAGCTATACACTTTGTTGGTGATTTCTGATGTCCATTGGGTCAAGAGATAAACATAAATTGTGGATAAATGTGAAATAGCATGAAAAATAATTTTGTACTTGAACACAATTGTAGGGAGACTGACAAATAATAGATACGCAGAAGTCAGCAGTGCATTTGTAAAAAATAGAATTGACTAGTATCTGAAATCCCATAACTAGAGAATATAGGATACTGAAGATGTTTATAGTTTACACAAAAATGTATTTGATAAAATGTCAATATACCACAACCATAGTCTAAGTATTTGTCAAATATGTCAATGTCAATACACCAACATCTAAATTCTGTAAATTAACAAGATTCAAGAACCAAAATATAGGGAAAAAATTTCAACTAATTCACCAGATTATTAATTTACATTGTCATTGTCAATGACACTTTTCTTCAGCTATTTGAAATCACGGGATTCAGTGTTAAAACCAAAAGAACAAAATGTGTTAAATGCATAGAATTTACACTGTTAATGTGCTTCATGAGAATTCATTTGCGAAAAAATTATTTTCAACACAGTAATTTCATGCATGATAGATTTTTCTTTTTCATGATTCAATTTTAGGAAAAAAATGAATTTCCTTGAATGATCATAGCATCTTTTAGTTCAATATTTACAGGGCCATCAGAAAATAGGCACTGCCCTAGAAATAAAATAGAAATATAATTTGTCAGAAATCAAATATTTAGAAGCATGTTATGTTCCACTAATACTTGCGATTTGTAGTTTCTTTCAAGAGCAGTGTAAAGTCTGCTTCAGCAGCTTCACTAGAGATAGCATGAATATATTTTCAACATAGCCATTGACAACAATATTCCATTGCATATAGCGCGTTACTTCAAATTGGTTAACAAAAATGAGAAAGTGACAAGGTGAATTAAATTCTATCACTAAATTCACCACATTAAAATTCAAAGGGGCAGTATGGCTGCAAGAATAAATGGTACAAAAATTCTAAGCTGGAGAAAAGATTGTTCTTGGCTACTTTATTATCCTCATCATCATCATCATTATAATCCGAAATAAGAAAGTCACAACCAGGAGTAATTTAACACCAACTACTTGTTAAAAAAAGGCGAAATGATTCTACTGAAATTCAAAGATTGCAGTGCAACTTCAACAATTAAAAATAAACCAAATTAAATCAGAAAAATAAGGCACCTGAGGAACAAATATCTTACAGGATGGAAGTTTAAAGAGTTGACCGAGTATATTTCATTCCCCTCTCTGTGGCATTTAAAAGTGAAGTTTTTACCCTGCTGACTATCATCCAAATGGTGCACACCAACTCTTCCTTCTATTGATCCAACCTACAGAAAGCATATTGTCAGTTTTAACAGCCCAAAATTAATTAATCTAGACTTCCAACTTACAAATTGATAATTGCAATGAAACAAGAATCCAGTAGACAGATATTTTGTATATTCTTATTCTTATAAATCAGAAATGTAGGATAGCTAAGTTAGGGAAACAAACATTAGTTGGTATCAAAAAATTAATGAAAAAGGACAGAAAGTGGAGTATACTTCTCGTTCTTAGCTGGAATGGATAGGGAAAAACATATTTTTTTGTCTTTTCATGATTACCATCAGACTTATATTTTGATGAAAAAATAGATAAATAAAACCAACCTAAATATTGGTTACAGAAAATAAGTCTTTACATAGATACCAAATAGGAACACACTGCTGGGAAACACTTGAATATTGCTTTTACACTGATAAAATGAAGGAAAATAAGAATACCCAAATATAGAAAAGGATCAAATATATAAAAGGAGTGGGGAATGATGCATACCAAGAAACCTTGTTGATCAGGGAATGCAGCAAGGCACCTTGTTTGATACTTTAATGGTGAAACGATTCTCTTGAATTCAACCTGTAGCAAATGAACAATAGTCAAAGCTAGGAGACACTTGCAAAAACTGAAATGAAAGCAAAAGAAGAATAATCAACAGAATGAATAGTGAACACATTGATCTAATCATGATATACAAATGAACACAATGCAAAACAAAATTTACGGCAAACAGCCAACAACCTTGGATATTCAACTAAGAAATCAATAAAGACAATATCTGTCATTAAGTTAACAAGGTATGATGCTCCAAAGCACACCCAGTATCTAAAGCACCACTATATGTGCGTTTGCTTTACCATTTACATATATTTCGACAGACAATGAACCCAATCCATGGCTCTTGTATAATTGAGTTGAAAGGACGTTTAACATTTTGAACATCATACCAAACACATAATATATAGTTAATTGATTATCCTATAATGAAGCAAAAAGCAGAAGAGATTAAAGAACTGCATCTTTGAAACAGAATTGTGGCTATACTTCTGCTATATTGTTCCAATAAGAAAGAAATGCTTGATGCCTGGACGAAAGTACTTATAGGGTAAACTTCTGTTAAATGGTCTAATAAACAAGAAACTGATACTGTAGAGGAATAAAGAAGTACTTGAGGCAAAAGTCCAGTTAAATGAAAGATATACAGGGAATGCCTGATACCTGACCAAATGTAATAGGGAGTTGGGGCTAATCTTCTGTTAATAAGTTCTCCTAATTTTGCTTAGTATGATTCCAAATATGAGATGTGTGCTTGACCATTGAACCAAATAAGTTTTTTTGAAATCCTTTTATTATTTTTATTATTCCAAAAATAATGTCAAACATGCTTATTCATATTGATATAATTTCCATGCACTCTAAGTTAGTGGTTTAAGAATGCCTTTCTTAGCAGATAAACTCATTCCTTCCTTTCTACTATTTTCAGAACATGCTCATTAACTGCACCTTCAAACTCGTTGCACTTAATATCCCCAGCACGTCACAGACCTAGAAATTGGGTGTTGCTTCTCTTTCTTTTAGATGACTTATTATTCTCATGTAACTCTTTGCTTCTTCCCCTTAATAATAAAGTTACTTTATAGTCAAATTATGCAATAAAAAGAAACACAACCCCTTTATGAAATCTTGGGATAAAATAGGCATGATATGACAAGTGAATACACGACACAGGTAATACAAATATTGGAAAATACAATTAATTTGAGATTAACTAGATTAGAATAAAACCATTACCTGAGGATTTTGTAGGTTGTAAACAATAAGATTTCTATCAGCAGTGCCAACGACCATCAGAGGATGTTTCACTGTCATAGCATAGCAGCGCTCTGGGAGTTGTTGTGTGTGCACTGGATTTGACTGCCTTGTATCCCAGTATCTAAAAGTAGCCAGAAGGAGTCATGAGTTGAGGACGGAAGCATCAGATCAAGCAAAATAGTACAAGCTTCATACTCATACCATATGTAATCAGATCTGAATAATATTTCTTTGGGTAAAATGACATGATAAATGTGATGCAAAACCCTATTTATACTCATAGTAAATTGTAAATTGAAATTAAAAAAGAAAAGAAATGAAAAACTATAATGAGATATGGAAAGCAATCCTATGAGAAAGTTTTGATATATTATAATAAAGGTACAATAATTGCAGTAAAGGTAGCACATTACTTGACAGTCCTGTCCCAGCTTGCTGTGACCAAAAGGTTCATCTCAGGAATCCAAGCAAGTTCTTTGATGGGTGCATCATGCATGGCAACAGTCACTGGTTGGCCTCCCGATAATAGAGGCCACATCTTAACTTGCTTGTCACATCCACCAGAGAAGACAGTTGTGCCATCATCCTTCCACGTAGAGCACAAAACCTATGCAAAGAATGAATTTGTAACATGTAACTATTAAGAGGACAGAAAAGTAGTAATAATGTATCAAGAAAACACATAGATGCATACATACATAGATACATGACATGGTAAGGTAATGAGTGATGAATGATAAAAGTAGAATGGATTACCGGATGATCGTGCGTTATAGAAGCCTTGGGGACAGTGGCGACATTTACTCCATTCCGCGCAACCTCCCAGCAACGAACCTGCAAAAGTTGGTTGGAAGTGAAATGGTTGAAGAATGAAGTGAAAAAAGAGGGAAACGAAGAGAAAGACCTGATTGTCCCATGAAGTGGCGACCAGAAAGTTGGCTTTGGGACTGAAACAGAGACTGGAGACGGAGTCAGTGGGAGGCTCATTCACCTGCAACCAAAATTCATCAATCAACCGCGAAAACTCGCACTGCTTCTCGCAAACTGGAACTTTGAGGTACCTCGAATGACTTGTTAGGGTTCGGATTAGTGTTGCTCAGGAAATTCGACATTTGCAGAGACACTGTTTCTAGTTTGGACTTTGGTTGTGAAAAGAGAGGGTTTTGTGTGGGTGAGGGCAGGTGTAGGAATTAAATACTACGTCGCGTTATTACAACGCTTGCCGGCCTCACCATCATCCCTCCTTCACTTCCTCAATCAACTAAGCCCAAAATAATGACATGTATCAAAGATTAACACTACTCACTACTCGGCCCTTTTAGGTGTGTGGCCCAAAATCTAAAATTGGACCACGATACCAACATTGGAGAGTTATGACCTAACCCTTCCTAATAATTCAATTTGATTTGATATTCTATATTTTAATTATATATATATTACATAAGTCTTAAAATAGTTTTCGTTTTTAATATATAGTTATAATTCATTCATCAAATTAATTAATTAGTTTATATTAATCATTTATATCGGAAGACTTAGAGGGTGTATTGGTTTAGGATTTCGTAGGATTTTAAAAGACTTTTTTTGAGTAAAAAAGTCCATTGGTATTCAATCAGGATTTTAATGTCACTTAAAAATAATTCAGTGATATTCAATCTGGATTTTCAAGATTTTTTATATAATTCATTCATCAAATTAATTAATTAGTTTATATTAATCATTTATATCGGAAGACTTAGAGGGTGTATTGGTTTAGGATTTCGTAGGATTTTAAAAGACTTTTTTTGAGTAAAAAAGTCCATTGGTATTCAATCAGGATTTTAATGTCACTTAAAAATAATTCAGTGATATTCAATCTGGATTTTCAAGATTTTTTAAAGAGTCCATTAAAATCCACTGGTATTCATTTGAGATTTTTTACAACTTAAAAACAATCCATTAGTATTCAAAAATATAAGGATTTTAAAGGATTGTTGTGTGAGAGGGATTTTGAAGGACTTTCTAGTGTTATCTATAAATACTAGATTCATAAAACAATCCCATCCAAACCCATCGGATTTTGAAGGATTGTTTGAAGTAATTTTTCGAGTGTTTCAAGAATTTTCAAGTGAGTTTTTCATCTTTTTTTTTCTATGCTCCTGTCTTCTCAATTTTTTATCTACTAATAATACTACATCATTATTCATTGCTCATATATAATATTGTAGTACTGTTCTCATCTCATTCCCCTATTTTGTGAAACTCTGATACGTAAATGATAGTGTCATTGACTTGCTCTATTTTTCTGTTTGTTCTCTTTAATTGACTTGCTTTATTTTATTCTATGTAGTTGAATTTGTTCCTTTATATAACACAAAAAAATGCTTGAAATTTTAACTTTTAAGTGGTAACTTTTTTTATAACACACGTCAAGAAAAGAAAAAGGTGAAAGATGAAATTGATATCATAATCTCTACAATATATATATATATATATATATAGATTTAGAGTTTATGCCTTCATTAGCTTATTTTAAAAAAAGGAAATATTATTAAAATATTTGTTAGAATAATTTATATTTATAAATATCGTTAAAAAATTATCATATTATATATTGTTGCGGGTTGCATCAATTGTCCCGTGGCGGAGGCTAGGTGGGCCAAGTCACTGTCAAATCATGGCGCTTGGGCTGCTGCGCTCTTAAAGTAAAAAGAGTTGTGCCCTGACTATCAGCTATAGCTATTGGCCTAGTGGTAAGCGCTCGATCCAACAATTGGTATCAGAGCCAAGGTCATGAGTTTGATACCCAGCGGGGCAATTGCTGAGAGGGAGATTGTTGCGGGTTGCATCAATTGTCTCGTGGCGGAGGCTAGGTGAGCCAAGTCACTGTCGAATCATGGCGCTTGGGCTGCTGTGCTCTTAAGTAAAAAGAGTTGCGCCCTGACTATAAGCTATAGCTTTTGCCCCAGTGGTAAGCGCTCGATCCAACATATATATTCTCTATATTTAAATACTTCCGTTTATATAAAAAAAATTATATATCTAAATATTTTCTTAGTATCGAATATACTGATTTTTTTATATAAAAAATTATCTTATGTTTCTATATTTTCATTTTTACATGTTTTTTTTTATAATGACTGAGGTATTTGATCCATTTGGATAGCTAAGATATATTCGATCTTGTATGATTGGTGTGCTTCTAAAAATAATAATATAATTTTATTGATTTTGTCTCTTATCCATAATTATTTATATAACTAGTTTTCAACATATATTGTTTTAGTAATTCAAATGGGAGATTCACAAGGAAATAATAAAGAAAACGGAAAAGAGAAAGAAAATTATGAAACTTGGACCAAGGAGGATTCCGATGAATTGTTACAATTGATAGTGGATGTTATAAAAAGAGGATAGGATATTATGGAGAATTATTATTATTATTTATCTATACATTGTTGTTTTTTTTATTATTTTTGTCTTTGACTCTTTTTAAATTTGAATGTATGAATTTTTTTTAAATCTTATCAAATGTCAAAACTCCACAAAATCCCACAGAATCTATTAAAATCCTGATTTAAAAGTCTTGCAGAATCCATTAAAATCCTGATTTTAAGTCTTGTAAAATCCTGCAAAATCTTAAAAGTCATGAAAATTCTGCAAAGTCTTTTAAAATCTGCAGGATTTTTTTTAACTAAAAAAGTCCTTTAAAATCCTAATCCAATATACCCCACTTATATTACTTGTATTCATATATAAATAAATATATATGATTGTAACAATTCATTCGAGTAGAATAGTGAAAATAATAGAATTTGATCCTTAAAGAGTATTATGAGAGACAAATATTTCATTGAAATTTCTTCTTTGTAATTTTGTTCTCTTCTTAATAATAGATATTATTCTTAGTGTCAATTATGTTTTGTATAATTATATTTCTTCATCAAATATGATTTTACCATAATAAAATTGATATCAAAGTTATGACATCTGCGAAGTTTGAGGTTGAGAAATTTATAGACAAAAATAATTTCAATGTGTGGGGGTGAAGATGTTTGCTCTCCTCGCACAAAAATGTAAGTTGGCATTAAAAGAAGAAACAAAATTGCCAATTGTTTCTACATTTGCACAAAAGAATACGATAATGAAAAAAATGTATGGCATAATATTGTTATCATTAGGTGATGAAGTTTTGGGAGAAGTCTCCGGAGAAAAGATTACCGACAAGCTTTGGGTAAAGCTTGAAAGTCAATATATGATAAAGTCTTTCCATAATCATTTATGCTTAAATAAACAACTATATATCATACAAATGCAAAAAGGTGGGCCCATTCAAAGACATATTGATAATTTCAACCAAGTTGTTGTTAGTTTAAAAATTATTGATGTTGTGATTGATGATGAAGCCCAAGTCGTTCTTTTCCTTAGTTCTTTGCCAAGAGTTTATGAAAATTTTGTAAACACAATAATTTTTGTATAAGTTCACCCTAGATGGAGTAAGTTAAAACAACTTTGTGGTTTTGAGAATTGAAAAAACATATTACTCATTCATGTAATGGGACCAACTCAAGTGAAGCTTTAATGGTAAAAGGAAGAAACAGTGAAAAGGAATAAGAGTTTCCGAAGGATATAGTCTAAATCATGCAACAAAAATAATAATAGCAGTAGGTGTCATAATTGTCAAAGAGAAGGGCGCTAGAAAAGAAATTGTCTCAAGTTCAAGAAAAATAAAGTAAGTACTTCAAAATATGGTGGAGCAGCTATGGCCTTGGAAGAATTGAATGGTTGAAATGTTCTTTTTGTCTCATCTAATGTAAATGACGATGACTAGATTCTTGATTCAAGGAGTACTTTTCACATGATACCTAACAAAGATTAGTTTGTCATGTACAAAGAGATTGACAGTGATAAAGTTTTAATTGGGAATGATGGTGCTTATAATATAGTTGGTAACAGTATAATGTAAATTAGGATGATTGATGATATTTTGAGAACATTAACCGATGTGAAGTATGTGTTTGAACTTCGAAAGAATTTAATTTCTTTGAGCATGCTAGATTCTCTTGGTTGTTCATATCCAGTTAAAGAAAGAGTCTTAAGAGTTTCTTAAGGTGCCATGGTAGTTATGAAAGGAAAGCTGAAAAATGGACTGTGTCTTGTAACATAGCACGATGGTAGGTGTAGTTGCAATTTCTTCAATTTCAGATATTGACCAAACTCATTTATGACACGAGGTTAGAAGTGAACATGTAATGGATGAACTTAGTAAGAGAGGCTTTCTTGGTGGACAAAGAATTGGAAAACTAGATTTTTATGAGCATTGTGTTTATGAAAAATAATGTAGAGTAAAATTTAGCCCTGAAGTTCATAAAATGTGAGAAACTCTTGATTATATCTATTTAAACTTGTGAAATTTGTCAAGTATTCCTTCTCACAAGAGAGCAAGATATATGTTAACTATCATCAATGATTATTCACGAAAAATTTGGATTTATGTCCTGAAATAAAATAATAATGTGTTTTCTCAAGTTCAAACATTAAAAATCTCTAATGGAGAAACAAATGAAAAAAAAAAAAAGTTAAACGACTCAAAACAGATAATGAATTTAAAGTATTTGGAACAATGATATTTTGTTGCTCATAATTGTTGTTTAGTAATTGATTAATTTTTTTTGAAATATTGAAGGGGTTGAGCAACAATATTAGATATAAGTTGAGCTTTATTTATATTTCTTTTGTTGATTTCATAGAAATCTTAGCACTTATGTTTTTTTTTTTTTGTTGTGAAAAATTTGGTCTGTAATGAAAAGTTGGAAATTTCACTTACGTATTATGGATTAGTTGTAGGTGTAATTTTACCATATGAATGATGACATATTTGGGGGGTTTTATACATTCATGATATTTGGTGCAAACCATTTTAATTAAATAACCAATATAATCGTATTAGATTTGGTAAGCCTGCAACTTTACGAATTTTAATATGTGAATTAATTTTATATTTTTTTTGTTTAGTTTGTACCTTGTGGATTCGGACTCGATTTAGGGAAATCTCATTTTTATTTTTTTAAATCAGAATGACGAATTTAAAGTTAAAATAACATGTTGAAGTAAAGAAATTTGTAAATGTGAAAATGGATTATAAAATAATAAGCTAACATTAACATTTACAAATTTTGTCCAATTTTTTTTAATTTAATATAAATTTATCGAAGATAATGTTTACAATTTTGTATCTTTGATATAACAATACTAGCTAAAAACATATGAAAACATTTTAGACTACAATTTTCTTTGCATTTGATAGTTAATACTATTCGTCAATTTATTTTTGTCCTTATATAATTGATATATTGACAAGTTTTAACAGGGATAATGATCATAAATCGGAATGTTTAAAAGGAGATTTTCAATTGTAGTATATTTTAAATCTATTTATAAAATATTTTGATATAGTAATAAAAAAAGTTCAATATATAATAAAATTTTGTGATTTAGAAGAAACGTCTGATTGTGATATTATTTACAACTCTATATCGTTGATATATTTTTAAAAAATTAAAATAAATTATGAACGTTATATTAAAGCGAACAAAAAAGTTTCTTAATTATTATATTTATAAATTATTAGAAGAAAAAAATTATCCTTATCGACTAATTTTTATTTGTTTAAATAATTATAAGAGATATTATTTGTCAACTTATTTGTATCACTTTATAATTGATATATTACGAAGTTTAAAAAAAAATAATGAATAATAAATTATAATACTTAAAAGATATTTATAATTATAATATTTACTTTTAATTTTTTTAATAAATATTCTGATACTTTTATTAAAAAAATTATATATTGTAAATTTGGTGAATAAGAAAAATTTCTTAATTATAATTTTTTTTTGTAATTTATATCTCTAATATATTTAAAATATTTTAAAAATAAATTGTAAATAATTTTCTTAATTATAATTTATAATTCTAATCATTTGTGCCACGCATATATATATATTTTTACATTCACTGACTTGACTTCTGTATATACCATCCAAATTCAAGGAACTGCATAATCAATCTGAACTGAAGATGGTTTCACTACTTTTCATTTAAATAATCAATGTTATACTGCCATCATTCTACCCAAAATGTTATAATAAGTTGATGTGGCCGTAACCATTTAAGAAAATATAACTAATTAAGAACATATGATATCTTTGACTCGTTCTCTCATTTTGCTTTTGACTTCAATCCCTTAGCCCACCCTTATTTATTTTTATTTCTTTAATGGCTTTCAGTTAGCTAAATTTGTATTTGAGTCCTCCTACTTCATTATAATTCATCAACTTTTATTTTATTTCCAACTTTTTCGATCGAATATTTAAAGTTTTAGGATAATATAATTTCAACATTTCACTATATAGTATATATTATTAATTCATTTAATTGATCTCAAATTGGATTAGTTTTTTTAAAATATTATTTTAGCAATAAAAATAATTACAATATTATTAATTAATATTTAATCTTTAACAATATTTTAAAAATTAATATTGTTTAATACTTTTAATAAGACATTAAGTTTCTTTAGTAGTTTATTTTGGCACCTTTAATTTAGAGAAAAAAAAAGTCAAATCCACTAATACCAAATTATTAAAACTTAAATTTGTTTCATGAGTAATGCAATTTTTTTTTTCATTCACGCTCTTTTAAAATTTCCAGCCATTGATTTTCATATTAAAAAGTCAAAAGTCAATGTATAAAAAAAAACAAGAGTGATTTCATATTTTTTTAAATAAGGTATTAATAAAAGGCAATAATTGATATGACGTGTATCTACACTATTTAAAACCAAAAGAATTATTTTTTTTACACCAAGAATATATTAATTTTTTTTATAAGAACCAAAAGAACTATTCTTAATCAACTGAATATGTGATCTCATTACTAATATTTTTATCAAAATGATTTTTATGGATTATACTATTTTTATGAAATTTAATCTCTATATTAATTTTGATGTCTTTTTTAATTCGAGTTTAAAACAAATGTAAAATCATTTTCTCTGTACAAATTTTTAGTTAATCGGCTTCGGTACAAATCTTGAAACATTTCAATGATTTTAATTAATTTCTGTTCACACATGTCTTTCTATTGAAATGTCACTTTATTAGTTAATAATTTCCATAGCTTTGTATCATTCCATTGTCTTTGTGTGTGGAAAAAGACATTTTCCATGTAGGTTCTAGTGTAACTTATTTTCCATATAAAGTTGAACTACAATCTATAATAGTCAAAAGTGGGTTTACATTTTCCACCGAGGTTTGGAATTGTCTGTGTAGATATATTGCATGCAAAAATAATGTTTGTCAGATTCAGTGTTCTAAGAAGATTAAATTGACTACCATTCTTAATTTGCATGCTTTTCTTCTTTCCATAGTCATTTCTGATTAGTCTTTTGCAAACCTAACCTAAACTCCTTTATGTATAGTCGTATAGATATTATATAATGATTTATTAATGACCTATTCATTTTGACACGAGGCAAGAAGTAAAGGAAGCTTGACTTTTCAAAGGGATAATGAGAATATCCAAATCTTAATCACGAAATTTGCACCCAGCTTAGTGTCAGATGCATATATTTCTAGATTCAGGTTAAGGTGTATTTCTTCACCCCATGTTGATGAATGAAATTATTACAATAATGTATGTAAGTGGAGAATAATTTTTTTAATGATATTTTGTTGATTTTTAATTACTTTGAAATCTAATTTATTATATTCCATCAAAACTTATTAAAGGTTTAAATTTAATTAAACAATTAAACTAACTATATATAATTAATAATATTTGTTGACTATTCTACAATTGCTTTTGTTGAGCACCGGGGAGAGGTTACCAAACATACACACATGTCTCCACATTGGTAAAATATTGTCCGCTTTGAGTCCAAGCCCTCACGATGAACATGAGTTTATATACACACAATTGTCTCCATTGGTTGAGAGGCCTTTTGGGTGATGTCCAAAAACAAAACTTGGGCCCAAAGCGGACAATATCTCACCAATGTGGAGACATGTGTGTATGTGTGGTAACCCCCGATACACAACAAGTGGTATCAGAGCCGATGGTCTGATCAGGTGATTGATTCGACGAGTATGATGACTATGTGTGTATGTGTGGTAACCTCCGATGCACAACAAGTGGTATCAGAGTCGATGGTCTGATCAAGGGACTGACTCAATGAGTATGATGGCTGGAAGATGGATCTAAATTTGGGATCCCTTGTGCCGAAAGTCTTCCTAACGGTGGGTCCATGTGGAAGAGAGGTTTTCTAATAACATGGAGGGGTAGGAGGCGGGAGGTCATGATGGAGCGACGGTGCAAGCACTCTGAGCGTGAGTGAGCTCTATAGGACCACCATTGGATAATACTCGTTGTTTCCGCTGCAGGAGATGGGATAAACCGTGGTCCTTTGTTTGAGGGGAGAATTGTTGGGATGCAAGCAAAGTTCCACATCGTTCAAACAAGATGATGGACATGGGTTTATATACATATAATTTTCTCTATTGGTTAAGAGGCCTTTTGGGTGATGTCCAAAAGCAAAATCGACATATGTGTGTGGAGACATATGTATATGTGTGGTAACCCCCGATGTGGAAACATGTGTGGTAACCCTCGATGCACAACAACTTTGAATTCTAATGGTAACATCATAATGTGACGGTGATAACTGATAAATGTATCCCTATGCTGAAGGAAAAATTCCATTCCATCGGAAATTAATGTGACGCATGTAGAATAATGATGCTAGCTAGTGATAGCTACTCCTTACATTTATCAAAGAGGAATGTTAGTTGCACTAACACTTGTTTTTTATTAATACTCTTCTGATTTAAAATTTATTAAAAATCATAAGTTTTTGATCAATTTCAGTACTATATTATGAAAGAGACTCTTTGGATAAAACTTACCAAAATTTGTAATCTCTTATAAATTTTAGCTTATAATAGAGAAATCATACTTCACATTTCCATATTTTGAATTTGGAAGAAGATATATACTATGCAAGTATATAATCTAAAGAGGTAAAAATGAATGATACTCAATCTATTTTCCAAAAATTATAATCAAATATGAGAACCGTCATAATGGAGACATAATGGATATATATAAATATAAAATTAGGTGAGGTGTGAAAATGAATTGCATTGAAATTGACCAACGGGAACTGACTTTCTCGAATTGAGAGAGTCTAGGTGTGTATTATTATTCTTTAATAGATAACTAGCATAGGTTATGTGTATAAATATGTCATTGTGGATAACTGGTAGAAGAAGGAGTTTGTGGTTGAAGCTAGAGAAATTAGCCCTAAATGTACAACTCAACAATTTGCAGTTTTATGCTTAGTGCTGATTATATTTTGCAGCCTAGGATGGTAGTTGTAAGGTAAAAAAGAACCGAACAATCTTAACTTATACATTATCAATAAACTTCACTCATCTTCTGTTTTCTTGCATTTCAACATCTTATATTCTCATATAGATCAACATTAAATAGTTGGCTAATGTATTAAAAATTATATTCACAGGCAGTCATCAGTATCATGCACATTGAAGAATCAAAGTGTGAGAATCGGTATGCATATATATAATTCATGCTTGATTGGTTATTTTTATTTTTCTTATGGATTTACTATCTCTGTCCCCCTAATTATATATCATGTGCAGGACACTGCACGAAGGTACCAAGGAATGAAAACTTGGAGAAACTGCAACATGGTTATTTATTTCCTGAGGTGCTTTTCCCCAGTTTTCCCTTTTCATGATTGTTATTAATCTTATTTATCTCCTCCAAAATATTTGTTTACTTACCTTCCGGCTACTTGAACATATTGTGCTTAGATGAATAATATAAATTCTGTGAACTTTTTCTTCTTTGCAATAATGTTAAAAGGTTTTCTTACCAAATTAAATGACATTGAGACTATATGCTAATTTGAATCGATGGAATTTGATGAAAATTAAGAGGAATAATATATATATATATATATATATATATATATATATATTTTTTTA